TTTCTCCACACTCTTTAATTTCCATTCAGTCTTCTTCTTGATAAACATTTGTGAATCAGTAGCATATACAGGCCCGGCCCTGGGCAAGGGCAGGCTGGGCCCATGCCCAGGGCCCCATGCTTGGAAGGACCCCCTATCCTATACTATTACTCTAATATATACTATTAGAAATGTTATATAATTATTTAGTATACATTCATAATAATGGTTTTTGAGTTGGCTGAGTTGGTAAGGTTTAGCATTTTAATACGTATGGTTGAGGGATCAAATCCCCATGGGTAATTTTACATAAAAATTTCGCCTTCTACTATTTAGTATATGAATTAAAGAATCTTACTATATAAAGATTTGAGTTGGTTGAGTTGGTAAGACTTGTAGTTTTTATGCCCGTGGTCAAGGGATCAAATCCCTTAAATATCATTTTACATAACTTTTTCCTACAATTTATTTATTTCTATTTCTAATTTGTATTTTTCTAAATTTAATTTGTAACTTTGTGATTTTGTTACCTTTTTATAATTATAGTGAGATTTATAATATAGATTGATTTGTAATACATATCAAATTTTGAATCTATTTCTATTCGAGTAATTTACTACTTATATTTAGAATATTTGTTGTTTTGTGAACTTTATAATGAGTTATTTATATGTAATATATTTTGTGATTTAGTTATGAAAAATATTTTAAAAGATAATTTAATTTTTGTATGAATTATGTAATCAATGTAGGATAGAAGTTTTATTGTGCGTCATCGTATTCAAATTAATGTAGAAAAACTTGAAAGTGATCTCAATAAAAAATAGTATTTATAAATATGATATCAATATATAAGATGTGTGATTTATTGCATGTATTTTATTGGAACTATTTTATCCAATTAATTATGTTTTATATTTTATTATGAATATCTTTTATCCCGTTTGAGTGTTTTGATTTATTGTTTCCAATAATTAAGATTTTATGCTTTGATTTCATTTGTAAGTTTTTTTTATATAAATTTTTATTAATAATTACTTTATTATTTATTATAATAAAATGTGATTGTTTATAAGCTCATTTGGTTTCAAATTACTTATTCATTTTTATAAACTATATTATTTATTTATGAAAATACTGATGCAGTGATTGATTATTGTGGATTTAGGAATGCATCTATAATTGTTTTCATGTGTATGTAAAATTGTTAAAAACTTGTGAATCTTATTTAAGTTATTTGACATTAGTATTGCTTCCTTATTTAATTTATTAAATTTTAATTATAAAAGTGTATATTAATTTCGTATTGGGCACATTTTTGTTGTTATACCCCGGGCCAAAAAAATGATAGGATCGGACCTGAGCATATAAAGAAAGTGTTATTCTTCTGCCTGGCAAGGGCAGTACAGCCAGACAAAAATCCTGTGGATCCAAAAGCTCTCACAATTTCCAGGTATTTTGGTCGTTTTGATTTATCTGTCAGCATATCTTCTTATTCTTCTTCTTCTTTTGGTTTGTACTTTCAATCTGGTTTCCAAACCATTTGAATGCTTTGAGTTTGTAAACGACTGAAGGTAATCTCTTCCATGCGACGAACATTGTTAGTTTCCTACTCCAAATGTGTGTGTGAGCGACGGAGCGAGCAAGTACTTGATAAATACTAGAGTATTTATTTGTTACAAGATAACTCCTTTAGAATATAATTTTCTTTGCTGCTTTTTTCTCAATTCTTTTTTGAGATTTAAGGTGCTTAGAGAGGCTTATCAGGTCCTGAGTGATCCTGAGAAGCGTGAAGCATAGGACAGAAATGGGAAATATGGAGTGCAGGAGTAAGTGCAAATATTAAATTGCAAACAGTTTCATTACTTGCTTTTGAACATTTTCTAAAAATCCAGAGTTTTTTTTTTTTATGGCTTATAACACCTTCATCTATTGGCACGCAATACAAATTGAGAGGCAAATCAGTGGTTGCAATAAGCAGATCCAGTATCCCATAGATGGGGTGGAACTTGAATGGAGTAAATTAAGACCTTGCATCACTTGCATGCATGGATTCTGGGTGATAAAGGAATTGAATTAAACAAAATTTACTTGTACCACAATAGAACATATTTACATTCTTGTTCACTGAACCCATTTTAAGTGCTATCGTCACTAATATCTTGTATTTCAACTTTTCAAGCAGAAAAGAATTGGTTTTCACTTATTTCATTTCATTATTCTTAGGAAAGCTATGCTAGACCCTGCAGCAGTTTCTGGAATGCTATTTAGAAGTGATCAAGTGATTTCTTCGAAGACTATGTGGGGCAACTTTTATAGGCTTCTTTGTCAGTTGTTGAAGCTGAACAGGCCTCTACTGATCCTGAAACCCGAAATGAGAAAGTTGCAGAAAAGATGAAGGTATGCTTGTTAAGACTTTATCTCATGAAAGGCCAGTCAATCTTACTCTGAACAATTTATTTAGAACATTTTGACTCTTGTATACAGGCATTGTAGAAGGAAAGGGAAGACAAACTTGTGAAGATTCTAATAGATCGTCTTCACCGATTTGTTGATGCCCATATACAAGAGTTTGTGGATTGGGCGACATCAGAAGCAAGTCGTCTATCTCTAGCTGGTAAGATAAGGCTTCTATGCTTTTAACCAGTATTGATTTTTGCATGCTAAAAGCTAAACAACCACAATAACCAGTAAGATAAGGCTTCTTCTTCTTCTTTTGTGGAAAAGAGTTCTGTGTAACATTCAGTACTTGTCATTTTCCTTCCACTTTCCCTGAAGAAATAAGAAGAAATTATAGACAATTTGCATTTTTCTGTTTTCAGCTTTTGGTGAGGCTATGCTGCATACCATTGCGAAGGATAATTAAGCGCTACATGAAGGTGCCATTTTTTGCGGAGTGGGTTCGAGATATAGGACACCGTGTTAAGTCACAAGTTATGGCTGCTTCAGGTGACAATAATAGAACTTGGATATAATGAAATTGCCTTAAACCTTCTTTAGTTCACCATATGTTAATTTGTGTAGACAACTGCTATTACTAGACCAACCTTTCAGTAACATCATCACTTTCAGTATTCAAAACGGAGCTTATTTGATGCATTTAAGAAACATGTGTGTGGTTTTTGATTTGTAAAGTTTATTTCATTTGTACTTCTTTCTATTTTTTATCATTTTATGTCTATTCTTTGTGTAGAGCCTTCAAGACTGCCCATGCCTTCAACCGGTACTCCCTATTTTACTCCATCAAGTCTGACATTAATATTATTATTTTTATCTTTCTTCTTCATCTCTTCCCCCACCACTCGTTTCTCTCTCACTGGCATTTTTTTCTATTTCTTCTCCCTCTCGTTTATTTATTTCCTTCACCTGCGTTTATGCATCTCTTCATTACTCCGCTAATAACTTATGTAACCATAACTTTTAGTTTGCTCATAATAGGAAGGAACTTCTTTCACTGGCTGATTTAGTGACTCCAAATCGGAAGGACGCTTCTGCTTTGCTTGGTGGTGTGCACTTGGAAACATTCGAAGACAATCACTGTGTTGAAAGAGGCATCTGCTTGCAGGAATGTACTTGTGACCGTGAATGCATAAGTGCTAGGTCAGATTGTCAGAATGAAATTTGAACCGTTTTCTGTTAAGTCAAGTAGTTAACTGTCAATATGCTGAAACAAATGCTTTGCCTGCTGCTGGTTTTCAATTTGTAGTTTACTCTAAGGCGATTAGCCATCCAGGACCAGCTCCTTATAGTTGATATAGCTTTGCCTAAGCACTTTTGAAGTTATACCGCTGCCTTCTTCTGGCCACCATATTATTATTTCAAATAATGAACGATTTGATCCCTCAATTATTAGCGAACTGTCAATGTAGTCCCTCAATCGCTTATTAATCGATTTGTTCCCCGAAAACAATTATTTTTAGTCGATTTAGTCTCTCAAGCCGTCTTCCGTCAACGGCCGGAGGGACTAAATCGACTAAAAATAATTGTTTTCGGCGACCAAATCGACGTCTGGAGGGACTAAATCAATTAAAAATAATTATTTTCGGGGACCAAATCGATAAATAAGCAATTGAGGGACTACATTGACAGTTCGATAATAATTGAGAGACCAAATCGTTGATTAACTCAAAAAAATAAAAAACTATCCCCAAAAAAAGTATACAGCTGCCTTCTTTCGGCCACCCTGTTGTTATTAACAAAAAAAAAAAAAAAAAAAAGAATATTTCTCCGCTTGTTTGGCGTCGTTCCGGAAGAAGGTATATCGCTGCCACCTTATTAAGAAAAAAATATTTGTCCGCAAAGAATTTATACCGCTGCCTTCTTCCGGTCTACCGCACAGCTTATCTACTGAAAATGTTTCTTCATCTCTCTGCCACTGCTCCACATACTTCTGGTCCACGGTAGCTAAGAACAAAACAAATCAAATCTCACCTTCTATCCGCTCCGCTTTTCTCCAATTCATCAAAGGCGATATGCGTAGCAATGAGTGTTTTACACGGAGTAGTATGGAAGGGCTTGTTGGATATTTAGTGGTAAACACTCAAGTTTTGCTGGGGAAAATGAATATGTTTATTCCATTCTATCTCTGCTAATTTATACACAATTAATATAGAAAATAACTCAACAAACAACTCTAAAATATCTCAACAACTTAGAATTAAAACAAGATAATAAAAGACTAATTCAAAATAAAACTAATGTGCAGTAAATATAGCATTTTCTATCACTCCTCCTTGCTATTTTTGCTGCAAACTCCAATCTTCTCTCTTAACACTTCATATCTTGATCTTGGCAATCCCTTTGTCAGAATATCAGCTAGTTCAACACCAGTACTGTAGTGAACCAAGTTAACTTCATTTGCTCTTTGAACTTCTCTAACAAAATAAAGCTTAACTTTGAAGTGTTTAGTCTTGCCATGAAAGACTGGATTTCTTGAAATTGCTATAGCTGTCTGGTTGTCCACAAAAAATTATTGTTGCTTCCTCTTGGGTCATCTTTAGATCAGACATAAACTTCCTTAATCAAAGAGATTGATTAACAGTTAAAGCTGCTGCAACATACTCAGCTTCAGCTGTTGATTGTACCACGACATCCTGCTTTGTTGAACTCCAACTAAAACAACCGGATCCAAAACTAAAAAAATATCCGGATGTACTTCTCATATCGTCTGATGAACCTGCCCAATCACTGTCAGAATAACCATGAAGAAACAACTTCTTTGTTTTTTCAAACTTCAAACCATAGTCTAGAGTTCCCTTTATATACCTAAGAATCCTCTTTGCTGCTGTATAATGCAATTCACTAGCACAATGCATAAATCTTGATAATAAACTTACAGGAAACATTATATCAGGCGTTATTGCTGTCAAGAACATAAGGCATCCAATAATACTCCTATATGCGGTCTCATCAACTTCCTCAGCACCATCATCTTTGCTAAATTTTTCATTTTGAGAAAGAGGAGTATTTACTGACTTGCAGCTTTCCATGTGGAATTTCTTCAACACCTCCCTAGCATATTTTTGCTGTCCAATATAAATTCCATTTTGAGTTTGTTGAACCTCCACCACGCCTAGGAAAAAAATTCATTTCTCCTAGATCTGTCATTTCAAAAGCTTGCATCATTTGAGTCTTAAATTCATTGATTAGCTTCACATTGTTTCCCGTCACAAACAAGTCATCAACATATAGTGAAATTACAATCAGATCATCATCAACAACTTTAATATACAGGGTTGATTCATCACTCTTGCTCTTGTTGAACCCCATGTTCGATAATTCTTCATCAATTATGCTATACCAGGCCCTTGGAGCCTGTTTTAGGCCATACAAGGCTTTCTTAAGCAAGTAAACCTTACCTGAATCTGTTGCAAAACCTTCAGGTTGCTCAACAAAAATTTCTTCCTCTAGATAGCCGTTTAGGAAGGCTGACTTTACATCAAGTTGATAAATCTGCCATTGTTTTTGTGCTGCAAAAGCTAAGAGAAACCATATAGTATCTAACCTTGCCACAAGTGCAAACGTTTCTGAATAGTCAACACCATATAGTTGAGCATAACCCTTCACAACCAGCCTTGCTTTATGCTTGTTAACAGAGCCATCAGCATTGAGTTTGGTTCGGTAAACCCACTTCACACCAATGGTCCTCTTATGTTCAGGCAGATCTACAAGTTGCCAGGTTTTGTTTTTCTCAATCCCATCCTCATCTCCTCCTCCATTGCAGCAATCCATTTTGGGTCTTTAGCAGCTTCATCATACCCTGCAGGTTCAAGTACTGCTACATTGCACCTTTCATAAATTTCAGCAAGTGACCTTGTACCTCTTACAGGAATATCATCAATTCTTTCATCTTCAAGAAGCTTTTCTGATTCTTCTTTAATATTTTTAGGTTCATTTTTATCCCAATTCCATCTGGCATTTTCATCAAACTTCACGTCTCTGCATACTTTCAACTTACCTATTAGAGGCTGAAAAATTCTATAACCCTTTGTGACATTACTATAACCAACAAAAACTCCATATTCTGCCTTTGGATCTAGCGTCTCTCGTTTTACATCTGGAATACGAGTGAAACATAGACAACCAAATATTTTAAAATTAAGAACAAAAGGCTTAAAACCATACCATGCTTCAAAAGGTGTTTTTCCTTTCAAAACTTTAGTTGGTAACCTATTTAGCAAAAATACAATTGTATCAACCGCCTCTGCCCAAAACTTTTTTGGTATTCCTTTCTGTAACACCCCGTGTTACGACCCCTAAAACCAATTAATCATTTAACCAATTATCCAAAGAAAGAATTAAATTACAATAATTAATTAGGGAAAAGGCCCACCATGGTCAGTGGGCCATCACCCCTAAAACCCAACCCCTAGCCCTAAAAGGAATAGAATTAGCAAGCCTATAATATTAGTTCCTAATTAGGACTCCTAAATATATAAATAGGGGACTTAAGAGGCACCTAGAACCCCCCACCACAATAATCCCTCACCACACAAGAAATTCCAAGAATTCCCCTAGGAGAAATCAAGAAAGAAGAAAGCTTCAAGAAAGACCCTTCATAGCCAAGGAATTAATTAAGGCTAAAAGGTAACCCATGTCTCAACAAAATCTATTTTCATAGCTATGATTTCCCTCTTAGGATTTCCCCCATATTCTTGTGTGTTGATGATTCGTTATAATGATCCTGATAATTGGTGTTATGATTCCATGGGTAATCTTGATGATAAGAGGTTCTTGATGATTACATGGTGTTCTTGATGTTCTTGATAATTATATGATGTTCTTGATGTTTATATGATATTCCTACCGAATCTTGATATTAGAAGATGAATTGTGTTCTTGTTGATTTAAAATAATTAAAACCCTAGGTTATATCGTGGAATTCGTATGGTATTATTCTTGGTAGATTGGGTGGGAATTTGTATGCTTGGGTGTTGATTATGTTTAGAAAAGCATGATAGGTTATGTGCCGTATGTTTCTTGATTTTGATCCGTTAATTGTCTACGTGTGTTATCAATTGCGTTTGAAAGTGTCTAAGCATGGTTCCGGGTTCCACGGTGGTTCCCGGGGCGTTTATTTGTGAAGAAGAGCCAGTGGGGGGTAGGTGGGGGTAGGGGACCCGCCACCTACCCGCGGTTAAAAGTGGCATCGCCGGCAGCGGGCAGCCGGCGGGCGGGCTGCTGCCCGCCGGGCACCCGCTGCCCGGAATAGTTGCCGCCGGCGGGCAGCCGGCGGGTGAACCCTCACCCACCGGCTACCAGCTGGTTTGTACCCCACCTTGAGATTTTGGCTTCCCCGTTTGATGTTCTCCCGACCCCCGTGGTGTCCAACGGACTCCGTCTATCGTGCCTATGTCTAGTTTGATATTTCGGGTACCGTTCGAAGGTTGTATGAGTCTTATGTATTGCATGCTAGTTGAATTGGTATCCCGTTGACCTAGGTGAAAGAAGTATGAACCCCTTAGGATTATTCTTAGTATGTGAAGGATCACGTATAGGTTTTGTTAATGTGGGTTGCATGTGCTTGCTATGTGTTATGTGTGCATGATACCCCAATTTGGTTGCGATCAAATTGGTTATACGGGCAGTCGGATGGGTTGAGAACCATACCGACGGTTAACCAGGCCGGTTGCGATCGGTCAGGTATATAAACATTATATAGGGCTGCGGTCCACCGTTTGGTTGCGATCAAATGGATTATACGGGCAGTCGGATGGGTTGAAAACCATACTGACTGTTAACCAGGCCGGTTGCGATCGGTCAGGTATATAAATATTATATAGAGCTGCGGTCCACCGTTCTACATGAGCTGCGGTTCATTTTCCTGGCTGCAGTCAGATGACATACTCTTGGGTTGCGGTCCACTGTTTGGTTGCGATCAAACTATGATGAGCTGTGGTTCATCGGTCGGTTGCGATCGACCCCTCCGTATTGTGAGACGGGGCAGGGTGCTGCAGGGCCATGTCAGAGCTATATGCGCTGACCCTCATGTATGGGCATGCGATTGGTCCTGTGGCGCCAACAAAGTATGCTTATGTGATGAGATATGGATGAGTTGTGATTCTGAGTATCTTGGGGATGTGACTACGGGATTTACGTTGGGGATTGTTTATGTTGGGTTATGATTATTGATTATGCTCAGCCTTATCTACCTTGCCTGTTGCGAACTATATATGCTTGCTATAACTGCCGTTTGTGCTTAGCTCTATGTGTCGAGTCTATCCCTGTTTTAAAAGCTAGAGTTCGTAGGATATATCTTCATGTTCAAAATGGTTTTCGTATATCTATATATATCTCTATATGTATTGTATTTCAACGCGTTGGAGTGGGTTACCAGCATCTCTCGCTGAACAGATATATTTGGCTTTCAGGCACAGAAGAATAGACACTGGAGCGCGCTAGAATCGTGGAGCATAGAAGTAGATAGTTTCCCTTTCGGCCTGCGTGCCACGGTTATGCATTACTTTGTTGTGGATATTAGTTAGTTAGCCTGTGCACCTTAGTTCTCTAGCTCAAGTGTGGCATAGCACCCCGTACTCTTTATATTATGTTTGGGATTTAATGAGATCTTACCTTCTTTATATAAGTTTCAAAAGTTTCGAAAACCTGGGGTGTTAAGTTGGTATCAGAGCCTAAGTTTAACCCTAGGATAAGACTCTTGAGACCAGACCTTAGGGCATTAAGCTTAAACTCTAGGTACTTAGGAACATAGGGTTCAGGAATCGTAGGACGCGCGGTGAGATTGTGAAACCGACACATAGCCCCTCATTTAATCCCTCTCTGACTTAAAGAAACTCCCCCTTCCCCTATTACATCAAGGTAAGAATACAAAGTAACATCGACTTATGAACACCAGGATGGCACCAAAAAGGAGACAAACAGGAACACCGAAACTCCCCACTCAGGAATTCTTGACTCAGAATCTACAACGCCTGGCCCAAATTTCCCAGGCACTGAGTACTACCATTCCCCAACCTTTACCAACAAACGAGAACTTGGAAATCCACCACCAAGTCTCGGCGCATCAACCACCCACCTTCTCAGGGAACGAAGACCCCACGATCCTCGAGGAATGGATCGGAACTTTTGACAAGATATTCCGGGCAACCGAATGCCCAGAAAACCACCAAGTCAGAATAGCCTCCTTTTACCTCAGACACGAGGCCGACACCTGGTGGGCTCACGAGAGACCCACATACGAACAAGGCCCCGAATTCAACTGGGAAACCCTAAAAACACGGCTGCGAGAACAATTCTATCCCGACAATCTAAAAGCCACCATATACGAAGAGTTTTTCCACCTAAAACAAGGGGCAGCCCCGATCACGGAATACTACCAGCAATTCCGCAGACTGGCTCGCCTCACCCCCGAGCTAGTACCCACCGAGATGATCAAGGTCAAGAAGTTCATAACAGGCCTTGATCCCGAACACCAGAAAGTCCTGGCCACACAAGAACCAAGGACTCTCGGGGAAGCCTATGCCAAGGCATTCCAACTACAACAAGTAACAAACCAACCTCGGGAGACACACCTGGGTACAAAAGGAAACCTGAGGGGAATCGCACAAATCCCACCCGAGGACCTAAAAGCTCCAGGACCGTCTCACCCCCCAAGGTCACGACACCGATTGCTCAAGGAAGAATCCTCACCCTAAGCAAAGCTAGGATCGGAGACAGCAACATAGTCTCCGGAACCTTCCTAGTACACGCCACCCCCGCCACCATACTATTTGATTCAGGGGCTACCAACTCGTTTATAGCAACCGAGTTCGCCACTCAACTCTGCCTTAACGCCAGCACAAAAGTCCAACTCCAGGTCAAGGTGGCCTCTGGTGAAATCATGAAATGCGACCACATGTATGAGAACGTAATGATCACCATCCAGGGAGTGGACTTTCCTAGCAACTTGATACAGTTCGGACTGGATGGGGTACAAGTGATCTTGGGCATGGACTGGCTAGGGAAATTCCAAGCACAAATCCTGTGTGGAGAACAAAAAGTGGTCCTACGGGGACCGAACGGAAAAAGGGTGTCATACCGCGGGACCCACCAGGATCCAGGGATCAAACTTGTGAACATGATGAAAATGAAGAAGTACCTAAACCATGGAAGTGAGGCCTTCCTATGCTCGGTCAAGAACCTCAACACCAAACCACCCGAACCGCAATCCATTCCGGTGGTAAACGAATTCACCGACGTCTTTCCAGACGAAATCCCCGGGGCACCCCCAGCCAGGGAAGTCGAGTTCACAATAGACCTCGCACCTGGCG